GGCAGAGGCCTGCCGGCCGAAGCGGGGGGGGGGGGGGAGAAAAAGTGAAGGCCTGTGACTCCTGCCGGGGCCATCCTGCCCCACCGTCAGCCTTCAAACCGCCCCCCAACCAAACAACCGGCCCCGTCACCGCCGGAGCCGCTCTGCTCTCCCTCCACCGCTCCTCACCTGTGTCGGAGTCAATGGCAAAAAGGGGCGGGGTGTTGCCGGCTGCAATGGAATACGTCACCCGCCCGTGCAGCCCCTCGTCCTTGTCGTGGGCCACAACCCGCAAGACGGCAGAGCCCGGCTGGCTCTGGGTGCTAATGCTGGTGGCGTAGTCCAGTGGGTAGAAGGCAGGGGCATTGTCGTTGACATCTTCCAAGGCCACCTTAACGTAGGCCATGGAGCTCAGCCCGCCCTGGGGAGAGAGGCAGGGCGGGAGAGGGTGGAGCGCAGCACGAGGCCGGCCAGCTCAACGCAGCCCCTCTGGGGCTGAGGCTGCTCCGTGTGCCCCTTCTGCCTTTGGGCCTAGCTGCCACCACCACCACCATCGCAGAAGAGAGAAAGCTACAAGCCCCTGGGGGCAGCTCTTTGAAAACGTGGCTGCAAGCAGTGAGCGACCCTGAGGGATGCCCTCGTCTCGAGACCAGCTCCTGGCACTGGAGGTGCTCCACTGGCATCCTTTCGGGCACAGAGGTTTCCCACAGAATCCCCCCTTCAGCTCCCCACAGCCCCCACCTCCGACTGGAGACTCTCCCCAGAGGCTCTCTGGTGGGCCAAGTCCAGCAAAAGCCAGCCACCGCCCTAGAGCCTCCCTCTTGCAGCCGCCTACTCACCCCATCGATGGCCGTGACAGTAAAGTCATAGGTGGAGACGCCCTCGTCACGATCCAGGTCCCTCGTTGTGCAGAGCCGGCCGCTCTCCTCCTCGAGGCTGAAGGCCGAAGGGCTGGTGGCGCTGGGCCCGGTGCCCAGGGAGTAGGAGAGGGACCCCAGAGAGCCACTGTCTGCATCTGTAGCTGTGACCTGAGGAGCGTAACCAAGTGGCGACAGCTGTGATGCCCGTGGCCAGAGAGAAACTCTGCCCTCCTGGCTTGCTTGGAGGCCACCAGCCTGGCACTGAGCCACCCGGTGCTTCTGGGAAGGGCACCCATGTTTTCCATGACCGGTTGGGAACACCGAAGGCGTGAGCACCAGAAGAGAGAGTGGCCCTTTTGTGCTTCCATTTTTGAGGAACAGAAGCCTGTTCGAGGCTGAAGAAGCTCTGAGGCTCTGCATAGAGAGCGGAAGGGCCTGGGAGGGCGGGCAGTTCTCTCAGGCCCCTTTCCTACGGGAAGCCATGGCCCGGAGACCAAGAGGAAGGGGCGGGAGCAGCCGGGGGGGGCATCAACAACATGTCAGAAAACTTTGGGGTCCAGGACAAGCGCCCCTGAAGAAAGCGTCCTGGCACCTGACGGAGAAAGGCCAGAGGAAACATGTTTTTTCCCCCTAGGAGTCTTGCAAAACTGACCAGGAGGATGTTAACTCCTGTGGTGATGGAAGAGTGCGTTCCAGAGGACAGATGGACACCGTTTATTGGCAGGACAGATTTGATTTAAATTTTAAAAAAGGAATTGGTTGATTATTTAAAACAAAACAAAAAAATTAATTTACATTGTGATTTAAATCAGTTTGATTTTTAAAAATCAGTGATTTTTTTTCCACCTTGTTCGTTGGGGACACCTGTGCCTCTGGTGCAGTGAAAGTGATGGCGCTTTATATCCCCGGTCACTGCACCGTGCGCCGACTCGGCCACGGGAGTTTTCTGACTGGAAGATAGAGTCTCAGCTGAGAACAAGTTTGCCGTAGTGACTCGATGGCCAGGCGAGGACTCTGGAGGTCTCATGGAAACGCACCAGGTGGTGGTTCTGGTCAAACCCTCAGTACTCCCTAAATATCACAGCCCTTAAAAGCCCTGTTGGGACTGCCATCAGTCCCATGCAAGTTAACAGTCTATTATAACCAACAAGGGCATTAATCAATTGCTCATTGAAATCGTTTTCATGAAGACAATTCACAGGAGGGAGAGTACCGGGGGTGGGCTTTGTCGCTGTGCATGTGTTGCCCTCAGCCATCACACCAAGGCTCTCTTCAGATTCTCTGGGGGAGCTGGAAGCTTTCTTTTGAGAAACTGGATGACAGCTGAAGGCTAAACGACATCTAACAAGGAGAACTACGATTCTTCTTCTGACGTTTTCCAATGAAACGCGGCCAGCAGCAAAAGACGACCTGATTGGGGCAGGCACCGGGGCAAGCAATAGAGTCCTCCCCCCCCGCCACCTCCACTCATGCTGGCAGCCCCCCCCACACACACACACACACCGCTGTCCACCTCACATGAATGTCAGTACAAAAAGGCCAAGCAGCCTCCCCGAGGAGGTTTTGGGGCTGCGTCTGGAGAGCCATTTGCCATGGATGCTCCAGCCACGGATAGAGAGCACTGGAAGCAAGGGCTGGGCCTCGAGGGCTGCGGAAGGGGCGGGGGGGGGAGCCAGGGGAGGGATGTGCATGTACAGCTCCTACCAAAGCAGTGAGCAAAGGGGAGAGGGGAGGGGAGGGGGCTTCCAGGCACCTCCTGGCACTGCGGTCCCTGCCACCTCGGGAGCTCCGACATATAACGGAGGGGGCCTCGCTGCTGCTGCTGCTGCTGCAGCCAGCCGTCTGTCCGTCCCTAGGCAAGCAGGGCTCAGATTTCAGAGCTCAAAACTGCTGATGGCAGGCATATCCCTAACCCCGCAAGGCAGCATCCTGGAACCACAAGGGCCACACAAACCCTGGCACACACACTGAAACACAAGACGCAGGCGCACAGAGGGAGACTAAAAGGACAGTTCTCCATGCATTGCTGCCCTGACGCTCCAGCTCCATCCGCTGAAATCCCAGCCTCTGCCCTCCTCATCCACCTTTCCAGGCCTTCGTCTCGCCATACGTTGCACGTACTTGTGTGAGAGGAGTAAAACCAAGTGGTTAGGGCAGAGGGAGACTGCGGGAGGCGAGTCCAGACCTCTTCCGCTTGGCGGGATGGCTCTTGGGAGCCGCTGGCAAGAAGCTCCTGAGCGGGCCAGACCGCCACAGAGCCTCAAGCCAAGGGCCGCGTGGCAGGGTCGTGGCCTCCCAAATCTGGTCGTCCCCCCCCGCCATCACTGGCCATCAGCACAGGTGGCTTCTGGCTGACGTCCCTGGCAACCTGGAGAGGGCCTTGCCCTCGAGGAGCTTGCCCTCTCTCACAGGCAGAGAACTAAGACGATGTGCTCCTTCTGACCTCTCGGTCCAAGGAATTTAGAAGGCTGCATCTCCCTCTAATGAGCGCGTCTGGGAACCAGGTTCATCAGGGGAGGCCTTCCTCTCGGTCCCTCTGCCTTCACAGAGGCACTTGGTGGCTGCTCCCAGGGACTGTGGAACTCCCTCCCACAGGAGGCCAGGCTGGCCCCATCAAGGCTGTCCTTCTGCAGGCAGGCGAGAAGCTTTCTGTTCAGGCAAGCTTTCCACGAGTGACTGGGATTTTAAATGAATGGTTGTGCCTTCCTGCTTTGCGTGTGGTTTTAGTGCTGCTTTTGTGTTTTCCCTTTCTTAAGAGTGGAATCTGTTGGATCCTCTTTAGTATTTGAGTACTCATTGTGTTTAGCTTTCAGCGTTGTTGTTTAGTGATGTAAGCTGCCTTGTGGAAAGGCGGGGTAAAAATATTTTAAATAACGAAATAAAATGTTTGGTTGCAGATGGGAAAGAGGATGCATCTTTTTTTCCCCCCACAGACCCCTACAGGCCGCTTTCCAGCAGAGCTGCTTCCCACAAGGATGGACGGACGGACGGACGGAGGGCCAGCTGCCCAACCCGCTTGCCCTCCAGCTCAGTCCAGGCCGACTCACAGGCTGCCCGAATGGCAGGCTGCCCGGGAGGCAGCCTTCCTCCCCAGAGGCACGCAAAGCCGCAGCACCACATCTGGCTTTGCTTCGGGCCCAGGGACGAGGGAGTGCTGGCGCCAGTGTGGCCAGCCGCCCCACGCACCCTTCCCACCCAGCCGACTTCCCCAGCAGCCCTGGCACAGCAGTGGCTGAGGAGGAGGAGGAGCAGCTAAAACCAGCCGCGGAGGCACAGCAGCCAGCAGCGGGGCTATTTCAGGAAACAGCAAGGATGGCTTCCAGCAGCTGGCTGGCCTCAGGGGTCAGCCAGGGTGCGGAACAGCAGCAGGCCGGCCGGCAGGCCTGCACGGGCCAGGTCACAAGAGCCAGGGCCCTTGGGAGCCGAGAGTCGCAGCCCCCTGGGCAGCCTCACAGACCGTGGGAGCAACACGCCTATCCCTCGGACTGCTCCTTCAACTTCAAGGGGGGGAGGAGGTTTGTGCGTCTGTGTTTCCCTACCCCTGTCAGTCAGTCTTTCGAAGGCTCCGTCTCTCTCCCCCCCCTCCCACCTCCTCCCACCCTCTGAGCCAAGTGAAAGCTTGGTGGGGGAGCCGGAAGCACCAGCAGGACCCTTTCTGCAGTGGCCCCCAGTGGGCGCCTCGCCCGCCTCCCTAGGAAGAGAGGGCTGGTGGCCAGGCATCTCCATCTCCACCCACATAAGAAGGCCCGGTCTGTTTCTTGCCAACAGCATCCATCCTGTGTCCAGGAGGGTATCCTCTCACGGGGGGGGGGGGCTCTTTCCAAGACTGGGAACACTTCCCCTTGACGCCAGAATGGGCCCACAGTTTGGGGCTAACTATCAGCATCCAGAAGGATGGTCAGAGAGGACCTGCCAGGCCAGGCCACAAAGAGTGGCTCGGAAGATGACTGCTCCATCCACAGAAGCCAAGACTTGACCACTGAAATGACAACAGAATCCTCCTTCCCCTGAAATTCAGGTCCGACTTGCCCACTGGGCTTTCCAGCTTGAATTGAAAAACATTTCTCACTCCATATAAGGCAAAATCCTTTCTTGTAACACCTTGGGCATCACTTTGCTTGTATGAGAAACATGATAGAGGCATTGTACAAAACTCTGGCAAGTCCCCACCTGGAGTACTGTGTACAGTTCAGGTCGCCAGACCTTAAAAAACACATTTTAGTTAGGCATCCTTCAGTCTCGAAAGACTATGGTGACGTGCTCTGTATGAAGGACTTGGAACAGCGTCTAGTGTTGCTGAAGAGGCCAATTCGAGAGTGACAATCTCTTCCACACTGAAGACAAATCCAATCTGTCCCCTGTCCAGCTCCCTGGTTTTGCTGCTTTTGTGACTTCCTCTTTGCCTCGGCCTGCTGGACAAGGGTCTCTTCAAATTGGGAGAGGCCGTGATGCACTGCCTGCCTCCAGGGGCAGCGCGTGAAAAGGTGTTTAGATTTGTCTTTGTGAGCTCTGTGTTTGGGGAGACAAGCAGGGGCCACGAGGGGCAAATGTCACACTGCCCTTCGTAAATCAAGGGTTTTTGTGTCAGTTTTGCTTGACACTCTCACCCCAACATGCATGGCGAAAGAGATCACA